TGGCAGATATCAGTACTAACACTATCTGCAGAGTTATTGAAACACAAGTTCTGTTAAGATTTGGGACTCCGTCCACATTCATAACTGACCAAGGACGGCAGTTCACGTTATCACCAAGATTCGATGCTCTTTGTTGTTTATACTCTGCTCGTCATATAGTCCTACCCGTGGCTCACGCAGCCTCTGGGGGCTTCTATGAACGCCAACATCGGACATTGGGTGATTCACTACGTCGACTACTCAGGAGTCATCAACGTGCTGCCTGGGTTGATCTATTATGTATTGCTGAAGGACGGCTGAACTCTATGCCGGATCCTGAGCTCGGTATTTCCCCTCATGAGATTCTCTTCGGATTCAAGTTGAGGCTCCCTTTTGACGTTTCGATTCGTAGTCAAGTTCTGAAGGAGCCGCTAACTCATGAGGATGTGACATCATTCATTTCCTTCCCCAACAAGGCTAGAGTCTCTACCATACTCTCTGAGATATCTCGGTTGGATCGCCATCGTCGACAGCTATTAAGCGTTTGGTCGGACGCATGGACTAGATCAAGAGAGAAGAGTAAAGGCCCAGAGGTACGAGAACATTATGTTCGAAGCGAATCTGTCTATGTATATCGTAAGCCCCAACATAAATTGGATTCTCAGTGGATTAGGGGTATCATTATGGGTCCAATTGGCGGGCAATGTTATGAGGTTCAACTTCCTGACGGTACTCGACAGGTCTTCCACAAGGATCATTTGAAGCCCTATTTCAGCTCGGAAGATGAACATCAGTTTGGTGAGCCAGATGAAGACCATCTGCCTTCATCTATCCCCAGAGGTCATAAAAGGGAGAGACTGTCATCTCCACCTATCGCGGAAGACCTTCCACTTAAGAGGCGAGTGCGAATTGTGTCTTCTGGTCACACTTTCCTAGCCTGGAAAGATGAAGATGGTACGGTGAGAGTTGGTAGTAAGGTCTCATGGACTAATGATGATCTTCTCCTTGTCCAAGAATATAAGCTTCTTGATGACCATAGAACTGTTGTACCTATGTATTTCACTTCTGATGGTATTTTGAAGATAGGAGGTCCCCCGCATATTCCTGCGACCATTGCTGTCGATCCAAAAGGAATATCAGTTCTAAAGTTGAAAAGTCCTACGCAGCTTTCTGATGAGTCTTCGAGGAAGGTGTCTGCTCTATAGCCGCCACCTTGGGGGACCGAGATGTAGAGAAATCTTTACTACTTTTTCTTTATAGAGGAATAGCAAGAGTGCAAGAGTCTAGTCTTGCCGTTAGCTATTATCATAATCTTATAGAGGCACTTGTAGCAGAAGTTCTAGAGGAGGGGTCTGTTATTAACGTAGCCATCTTGGCTCAAGTTCTGTTGTGTTGCTCATAACCTCAACAGTGTCAAACCACGTTCACACCATGCGTTCCTCGACCACATAGAACCTCGGCGCATTCGTAGTCTACGGAATCCCAGATTGCCAATCAACAGGTCAGACAGCTAGAATACCAGTCTGACAACTAGCAACTAGTATGGAGTCGCACAGATGATTGACTGGCAATCTCGGCTACGACGGGAATCCTAGCATTCGGCGAATGACGCCCAGGTTCTCCAATCCCACACTCTCGAGTCAGAGGGGTTTTCATTAGAGCTACTGTAGATCTATTGAGGTAAGTATCACCATCATTTCGTAATGCCAAACTCCGCAGATAACGACACTCTTGTGTTTGCACTGGGAAGACTCGACCTTGAGGCAAGTGACACCGCGGGTCCGATTACTACACTACCCGAGTTGGTCTTCTCACGAGACCTTTATTGATACTCAATCAGTCTGTGCGGCAGAGCGTCACCTTTTTGTACATGCGTACAGACTTTCTCCTTGTACTTGCGTACAAGGGTTTGAGCATAGGATACATTCCGTACTGTTGATCTTGAGCATTTACGTTCGGGTCGCATCTCTCCAGCTAATGTCGGGTCGTGTTGACACAAGGGAACGACAGGAGGCACCGGGCATCAACACCGTATTGGCAATGAGTTCAGTTCATAACCCCAACAAGGAGCAATTGAATCAGGCTCGAAACATGGACTTGAAAAGATTTTCTTCTCTCTTACGATCTCCCTGCATGTCCTTCTTAAGTCGATGAAGCAAGCTTCGTGCCTCAGAGCATTCCTCCAAAATTCCCTGACACTCACGTTCAGACGTGATAAGAGAACCTACCATCGATCATCACCTTGAGGATGACCACTGCCTCATCCGTCTGTTTATGCTGTCCCACTAATGCCAACGCCAATCGGTATCTGAGACGCAGTTGAAGACTCCCCAACCTACAATCTCTCCAAACCTAGCCTTGATGTTGTCTGGATCGATTTCTCTCGCCCGCGTCGCGAATAGTTGACCCTCGGAATAGTCTGCCTGCTTCAAACAAAGGAGGGCGAGATTGAGGACAACCTGCATTTGATATGAGTCCGAAATTTAAGGCGCATACCCACAGCGAGCTCCAGAGCCTTCTCCTCATCAGATGGTTCCTCCAAAGGAGGTCTCTGCATCAACCTCAGCGTGCTAAGAGCCTTCATGTACCTCGCGTACCGATCAACCAAGTGACCGACCAGACGCCTACTCTGATCGAGCCTCGCTCAGCGCACCAGCTGCCAACAGACGGTTCCCCGTATTCTTCCATAGTCTTGATCGTCGCAACACGGCTACAAGAATGGACTGATGGGACAATGAGGCTGCTGCCTCCCACCTTCATCGGAAGCCTCGTTTTCCTCTTCATCAACGGATATGAGCACCATCTCACAAGACGGGAAGTCAAATTCACTCAATAATTGTCCTCTTTCCTCCACAGCCGAGAGCCTCTGTGCTTCACCGGAGCATGTATCAACAGACTTGGAGATGGCCTCCTCCATACTTGTACCCGTATTGAGGACTATGGGAGGCTCCAGCTCGCGATTGACACACAACCTCTTATCGCATAGGTATTCTCGATCGACTCCTTCACTAGGCTGACGAAAATAAGGAGAATTCTTCTCATACTGTCCCGTGTGATATTCAGAATAAAGTCGAACGTAGCCGGTGATTCAGTTAGGGCCACAAATATCAGCGGGTACGAAGACTCTCTGGATGCTAGAGTTCCAACGATCCAACGCTTCTATCCGAGGCAAACTCTCCAGGAAGAGCATCGGGCCTCTTCCCTGTGAATGGGCTCACTGTGAAGAGTGCCCGCTCGCCCACTCGCATGGATCGGACCATGGCATCGAAGATTGGATG